GCAATGTCACATATGTCCATCAGGAATGCTTGACGGTAGCGAGCGTAAGAGGGTCAACTTGCCTCCTCATTTCGAATACGGATCTGAGTCGCTCTGAGAACGAGGCATCGACTTGCGCATGCTAACGCGAGTGGAGCTGAGTATCATACATAACATCAAAGAGCTTCCAAGGCCCGACACTCACCAAAACGTGCAGCTCGGAGTCGATGCTGGTGGTCCCGGTCATTATGGGTCTAGTCTGAGAAGTGATTTGTAATTTGTTTGTAGTGATCTTATTGGGATGTAATTTGCCCACGCCACAGACGCGTCGCGTCCGTTAATCAAGCCATAACCATCCAGGAGCTGCTGCTTACTTCAGATGGTCCGTAAGTACTTGAGAAATTGTCAAGTGACGCAAGTTATTCGCGCTCGAAGTTGTTGCACGTAGTCTGCTCGGCGGCTGCCAGCGTGTCGATGCTTCTTAATCACAATCGATTTCGGAGGCAATAGTAGTAAGAGCAGCTCGCACTACTGCGAGATGTTTCACCTGGACACAGTATCGCAGTCCAGGCCAATTCATTTGTATTCAAGTGACATACGTCATTTCCCCCTCACGCTAGTTCTGGGCTGGCGATTCGAAACACCCAGCTCATCGTACTACGTTGAAGTTGGGCCAGGTTGTGGTGTCAATGCCTGTTGGTGAACTCTTCATACGGCGAATGGGTACTGGGAGCCTGCTAGATACTAAAGTGTGACCAGGACTGAGACATGCTATGTTAATAATAAATTATGAGGATCTCAGAGTACAAGGAATCTTCTAATCTTCAGAAGCGGGTCTCGCCTAACGGAAGCCTCATGTCTCGACCTGGACCTTCCCTAGGGAATGGGAGTAGTAGAACTTGGCGCACGTAGGTAGTCCTTTCGTTCAGACAATGTACAATGATTAATACATCAAACCTGTAAATACGTATGGAAGCAATAGATATTATCTACTAATGTCCTCGATGCAAATTACTTTCCAAAACTGCCTAAGTCGAGATATGGCAGATCGAGTTGCGAAAGCCAGTGTCAAATAAAAATATTCACCAATAAAGCCATAGATATCAGCAGAGCAATGGCCAGGACCCCAACGTGGTGCACGGAGATCTGTGGTTCACAGTCGTGGCGAATAAACCGTGTGATATATCGACACTAGCCCTGGTGTATTTCGAATGTCGTGGTAAGCGTGGTTGATCAGAGCGTCAATAGCTGTGTTCTCATATCCAGACTCCAGCAGGACGCGTCGGCAGGCTTCCATATATCTCTTCACGCACTTCCTAAAGTCCCTGCCAATTTGCTTCAGCTCCTCGTCTCCCTGCCATCCGCCGATTGGGACATAGAACGGGCGCGTCGTGACGTCCCCGAATCTTCCAGATTGGTCGATCATCTGAGGAATAAACCGAGATACGGAAGGTATTCCCCGGCGCTGAAGAAGCGTTTGGTTCAGAACTTCATAGAATCTATGAAAGTTGGGGACGTCGTGTGCTGGGGATACTCCATCAATATCTGGATGGAACGCGGCATATCTTCCCCATTCTCCCGAATAAAACATCCCGCCCCGTACGAGAAGTCGTGCTGCTTCCTGGATGATGGTTTGATAGTCAGTCACCTGCAGCGCCATCAGCCCGTAATCTTTTCCCGGTGAATAGCCATGCTACATACCGTCATTGAGGCACCACGAGCATGAACCACGTCAACCGTTCGGTCCTGGAATGGCGTTGGCTGGTTGATGTCGTGTAGTTGGAAATGGACATTGGGGGGTATGTTTGTTCTTGGTGCGATAGGAACTTTTCGAAGGTTCGCAAGAGGTTTATACTAGTAAAAGAAACAACTCACCAATGTCCAGGCCATAGAATTCTACATGAGGAAATTGCTCAGCCATTTCAATACACCTGCCATATCGCATATTCAGTCTTTGTGAAGAAATGCATGACAAAAGCCCATACCATTGCCCCATACCAGTACCAATGTCGACCGCGATGAGTTGCCGGTCGCGACCTGGGGTTAAAACATCGTGAATGGGGCCAACATAGTTTCCGTCAAGGAGCTGTCTTAAAATCTCGTGCTGGTCGTCCAGCCTCTGAGATTGCCCTCGTGAGTTCCTTGTCAATCGACGAAACACGATCACATACCTCACTCTCTTCAGGGTCACTTGGAAGAGGGTAAGTAGCTGTAGGGTGAGAGGAGAATATTCTTCCGCTGTGTTCAAGAAAGTGTGGACCGAGGTCGTCAACAAATTGTGGACCGAGGTCGTCGTCAGACATGTTGGGAATGTTGGGAATGTTGAGGATACACAGTCCCTTCGACTACATATATAGGACGACTTTTCACGCATATCTTTCGATGAAACTGCACAAAGGAAGCCCTTGCAGCATGTTCAAGCACCACCCGAGAACGCGATCACTGTTCCATGGATGCTGGTCGTTGGCCACGGAGCGCGGTGGAAAAGTTCCTGAAATTAAAACACGAGCCCCGTTCCACGTCAGGTAAAATGTTTCCACATAGATGTGATACTACACATAGAATTTCACCACGCACGCTTAATGATCCGTCGAAGAAGAGCGGCGCCACCCATTTCTGTTGTAGACCGAAGAATGTGGTCCCGTCCGACCTGAGGATGACGACGGAAAGGATGATGCGGCAATTGCCGCAGCCATTCTAATTTCTCGGTGGCGATGCCCGGAGTTTTGATCCTGCTCCGAATTCGGCTTGTCGTGGACAAAACGTTGTCGTGCTCATGGTAGGTGGGTAGTCTTGGGTAGTGCGCGAGCTGCGGCTTAGAAAGGGACTCATGTCGCTTATTTGAAACAACATCTTCGGCCCATCTGAAGATGAAGGGACATGCTCCGCGTTTTTTTAAGTTTACACCCAGCGAACCGGGGAACCTCTTCGTCAATTTACGAAGGACCGAAAGGTTGAATTGCTCATCGAGACGACGTGTCCAATCCTGGTATGCCAATCCTCTGCACATTTAACAGCGGTGATTAAACCGAAGCAACTACATCGATCCTACATAGCTGAGCTTGGGTATGCTTGCCTCAAGTTTCTCAGGCGCTCCGCCATGGGATAAGCTGCGATCCCCAGTCCTCGTGATGAAATCTAGGGGTTGTCTTCCCTAGCTACCCTGCCCCAATGCCGAAGACCTTTCGACACTGCCCGAAAGTGATCCGTGTGGCAGCTCACTAGGTCCTTTCAGTAACTCATTCACCTTTTATGTTCATGCGCAGTTCATTCTTTCCCCTCGATCTCGGAGATTTACCTGTGGCTTTCGGGCGTCCCGAACCGTCGGTATCGTGGCCCTGGGATGAATGTACGGCATCATGCGTCATGAACTGACTCAAGATCTATTCAAGTGGCGAGCGAGTCGCGACAAATTCTGTGGAAGGCAAAACAAGTTGGCGTTCTGGTGAGAGTTTCCATTGCTCATTCCAGAGTCGACGATGCTCGGTTCCTTCGCTGTACAAGATAATATGACCCTTTGCTGAGGGGATTGTGGGTGAACATTCAGTAATGTCCAATGTTGTTCCGATAATTAAAACGACTTTTTCTCACTGCGAAGATATACAAGCGACATAGATTTTCGATGCCATCGCCCTCACAATATTTCCCTCTAGTTGAGAGTCCAGGAGAATGGCACGAAGCTTCTTCCGATCCATGCAGCGCAATGAATCAACTTCAGCCATCACAATTTAGCGAATTCAAGTCATGTAGGCGAATGGCTTGATTTAGACCAATTCTCCGACGGAGACTTCCATACGAATGGTGTAGAGCCATACGATCTCCGGACGATTGCGCCGCGTGACTATATCTTCGTCTGTCGATGAGAAAGGCCAGAAGGACGGAGCCCAGACAGAACGACTGCGCTTGGAGCATCTTCACCGAGAACTTTGTGTTTCAGGCAGCCACTAACTTGTAAGGGCGAAGAAAACCATGACTTAATAACTCACGCTTAAGCCGTCAGGAAAAGAAGAGTACTGGGACTTTCATGTACAGCACGAGGAGCGTCGGCTTAACCACCAGGGCTGAGGGAAGCCACGCCCCTCCTCTGCTTTGGCTCCACCGAAGCTCGGTATATGTTATATGCCCCGTCTGTTTAACTCTTTTTCAGAACAGCTCTATACATCTGAAACTCGAGACGGAGACGAATATCCGAGCAAATTGCCTAAATAATGCCTCAAAGAGTGCTACTCTCCAGGCCCGACGGTTCGATCATATGGAAGAAACTCGCGTCGACCAGCAGATTGAGTCGAACCTTCAAACAATCGAATTATTACAAGTTGATGACAAGCGTAGTCGGTCAGACCACTTTCAATCGAGGGTGGCACTCGCTGTTTCAAAATGCCAGGGTACGTTCAAGTTTATGGCGCTACCAAATTCCCCACATCACAATTAAGTGTGGTGAGAGGTATCCGCTATTGTGGTCCCTGCGGAGGTTGAACGCGTACACGGTGGTCGAGGTATATTTTAGGAAGTTAGATACTTAACAACTGTTCAGGGAACATTCCGAGGTATATGATCTTGGTCAAAGCACAAAGCGCCGTCATCATCACATACTTTGTGACCACGATGCTATGAAGACTTCTCGCTGCGCCCGGCGCAAGCCGAGCTCTCAAACTTCGGCTCGCTTCAAAAGTCCTCGCTCATCTCCTTCAATGGTTCAACTATCCCCCGAAAGAGTTCTGAGACGAAATTGAGAAGCCCTCAGAGCTTCCTCCATCTCCCTGAAATTCAGGGCTATTTGAAAGGCATCATGGATCGCAAATGGATCGTATAGGAACGCCCAGACTTGACAAACCTGGAATCTTCTGTTGTTTCTGTTAGGCAAAGTTCTCCGTCACCACTCCCCGACGGTAAAGCGGACTGGTAAGAAATGTGACACGGCGGATTTGCTCAATGGACCAGGGAATGCTCATTCGAGGGGCAAGTTGACGTTCATGCATCGATGAAGAATCATGATGTGGGTCCATATCGATCAGTCTATAGCCCTCTTAGCTCAGTGGTAGAGCGCATCACTCGTATCTGCAGGTAGAGAATCCCTGATTCCGATGATGAGGTCCATTGTTCAATCCAGTGAGGGGGCATAGATTTTGCTTCATTCCGTTACTTACTCTTAATGCAATGAGTCGTTCGTCCAGGTTTCCTCAAAGATCGATTATTTATCTACCCCTATCGGTATTGACGAGTGCTTCATGCATGACGTGAAAGTACTGCGTTCTGTAATGTAATCCATCGTGATACTAATAGTACATACTTGTAACAAAACCGTGTTGACGCCCATTGTGCAATATCCAATAGACTCAGTCCTACCCAGCGGTGGGGCGAAATTAGTGGTCGCTCTCCTCCCAGGTCCTTCCGACGGTCTTGACCAAGTCGTGTTCCGTGAGTTTCTTCCCACTCGTGAAGTAGCCAGCAGCAATCTTCGCATCGATCTCCACTCGGGAGTCAGGGGGAATGAGGTGTTCTGTCAGAACATGTATATCGTCAATAAAAAGCGGCTTCCGAGTAGAAGAACTAAAATCTGAACTCACCTGGGATATCATACCTCTTCTTAATCGGAATTCCACTGCCGACGATAGCATCGTACTTCATATCGCTCATGGAAACCATGTTGTCGATCTTGGTAATACCCAACCAGTGCAAGATGTCCGGCATGAGGGCCTAGAAGGAATGGAAGTTAGTGGTGAGCACCGCAAGCGAAACGAAGCGTAGAGAGCAAAAATATCCACCTGGAACCGCATATCCTTTACACCTGCAATCATCTCGGTACTCTTGAAGTATTTATCCGCCGAGTCGCCTCCACGTTTGCGGAGGTTGTAAACAAGGTACCTGGTGGGAAGCACATGTAAGTGAGCACCCCTAAATGGCACAGGCCAATGAGGGGTAGAGAACTCACTTCGTGACCTCACCCAAGGCTCTTCCCTCTTTACGGAAATAGACGACGACGCCGACGCCTCCACGCTGAGCAGTCCGTATGCACTCCTCCATCGCGTAGACGAGGTAAGGTTTGCACGTGCAAATATCAGAACCGAAGACGTCCGAGCCGTTGCCTGCGAGGGAGTCGGGAATTGTCCAGCTGTGCCAAAGTGGTGCGACTTACACTCGTCATGAACACGGACGGTGACCTCCTTCGACTCGTCCCTAAGAAACTCCGGGTTCCCGAAGATGTATACGGTGAGATTGCCGATGGGAGGGAGGAAGACCTGATGGAAATAAGTATCGACCAACTAGGTCATGGAGTAGAATATTCCACTTCACCTTGATGTCGGGCCTGGTGATGAGTTCAGGGTACATTCCTCCGGTATCTTCGAAGAGAGCTCGGCGAAGAAGGGTTTCGGAGCTGCATAGCATAAAGACAAGTCAGTAAGGTGAAGGAAAACAAAAGGAGGACGAAAGGAGGGCGGGAGAAGGTCCTGGCAGCGGTCAACCTGCAGAGTGACTGCGCCGAGTGGACTAAGCGCCCATCGCTGGGAACAAAGGTGCTGCCAAGACCTCGAGCATCGATGAGGAGTCGCCGAAATGAACCAGGCAGCGACAACACTCGCGAGATCCCTCGAGAAAGAAACGAGGAAGTGACTGAAACTCACATTCCGAACCTCTCCGCAACTCCAGGCAACCACCAGACAGGCTCTACAGCCGCCTTGGACACGTTGATTTCTACACCTCCGTCCCTGCTCTCATCGATGCTACCGTCGGCTTTCTTGATGGGAGCGGACTTGAGCACGATCTTGCCATCGATCTAAAGGAGGTGTGAATGGTGGGGAATAGCAAAGTCAAGAACCAGAATGGAGCAAGAAGAATACCTCTATTTCACCCCGCCGCACGGTCTCGTCTATCTCGGAGAGCTTGATGTGAGCTTTAGTGACGGCAATACTAGGTCGAATATCTAATTCTGAACCTGGGGGAAATCATGAGGACAGAAGAAGGACGCAAGAGTATAGAGCAACTTACCACCCTCCTCCTTGGACTTTATCTTGTCCGCAAACGCAGTCTGCACCAAATGCCCCCAAGGATCGAAGGAGACGATCTTGTGGCCTTTGTCTGTCCAAAAGTCAGCACGGCTTCCTCAAAAGCTTATAAAGGGCCCGAGACATACCGCTTCCATCCTTTGGTCCATACCACGATTCGTTGGGAGGGAATTCCACGGGTGGCTCGGTCTTACTGAAATCGGGTCGATGGGCCGGGTCCAGGGTACCCATAGCGATAGCCAACGCCCTATAGATCGAGTAGCTCCCAGAGTGTGCACCGATAGCATTACGCTGTCGGATACTCCCGGGCAACCTAGAGCAGATGACAGGTCCACGTTCAAGAGGCGAAGAAGCACCCCAAGTAAGCTTCACAGGGGAGATACCTAGAACGAATTTGACAAATTAGATGAAACAAAAGGCTGGAGGACGCGGACGCACCATGCTGATCAGGGTAGGTTGTGAGCAGAACGCGTCCTGGATAAAGAGCTTTCTCTCGTTCCTTCAGATCCTTCAAAGAAGCGGAAGCTGGGGTAACTTGCTGCGTGATCGAAGCTGATGCTGTATGAGGGAGCGACGACGGCACGGAGGTTGAGAGGGGGGTTCCTAAGGATTCAGTGGATTCCTGCTTGCGAGGATGGTAGATAGGCAGGCCTTGTCGTTCCGATGTCGGAGAGGAAGCAGTGAGATTGTCGAGCTGGACGAAGAAAGCATCCGGATAAGTGAAAGTGATAATCAAGAGACGATGAGAGAATAGCAATTGATAGCAGTCTGAGCTATGTACATCATCCAGCTCTGAATTGACGAAGCTCTCTTCTTCTCCTTTTCTTTGCCTTGCCTCTCATTTCAAGGCCCGTAGTCAAATGGAAGAATGAAGCTCACCTTGGCCTGCATAGCATTCTGGTTCACCTGGAGCGCGTCAAGCTGCGCGAGAATCTTGGAAAGTATCTCTTCCGACATAGTTCCTTACTTTCGTGGTATTTCTGTTGAAGCTGGTGGTAGCGGTGGGTGGGGGTTCTAACAACCGATTGTGAGGCCCACATTACGAATATAACGAAGAACGCGCGTACCTCAAGGCCGTCGATAACAATCTACCTCGAGGTATATCTCTCACTATCACGGCTCTCCTTCTCAATCTGTATAACAAATCGAATCCGATAACCCTATAAACGAGTCCCATAGGTCAGCAGTCGGGCACGAGGAATCCATGCACTAATGGACCTCGTTTCTCGAGACTCACTGTTTAAACGGAAAATCTGCATGAAGAAATTAGATCGATTTGACGACGTGAAGGATGCAGACGTACATGGTGGTTCGGGGTCAAGAGGTGCGACAGCAAGATAGACGAGTTACGATACCGATGAGTAAAGCATGCGGGGTAGATCCGAAAGAGGCGGGCCGACGGCCGTGGCGGGAGGTCCCGATAAGGAAAGGTACGGCGCTCAACTACGAAGGGGCTATGAACGCATTAGGTGATTCCTCTGGCAAGCTGGGATGGCCGAGTCGTTAAGGCGAGTGATTTGAATAAGCCACTATCACTTGGTGTTTCACCGCGTAGGTTCAAATCCTGCTCCCAGCGGAATGTTTTTTTGCTCTTTATAAACCCTCGCACAAATGCAGGTCCCAAGCGACTTGGTTTGCTTGGGTCCCCTAATTTGAATCCTATAACAGGGAGACCTGAATCAGCTACGGAATCTTCAGCTTCGCAAGATATCTACCTGAAAGCTTTACCGTTATGACCCTCGCTGTGACTGGAACCCGATATGAGGTCTCAGTTAGTAAGACCTATATATTCGCCACCAGCAGCTGCGAAAATATTGTCCCAAACATCTTCTGCCACCACTTTGCACATCAGCGTTCGACTGCAGAGAAAAATGAGGTTCCTCAGATTCCCAAACCAAATCACACGAGACAATTTTGAGGATGACTTCTTCCGATGCAAAGTGGCAGATTTTCGCACCGAAAGCTCGAACTTGATTAATTGATTCATCCAAGTTACGAGTATGGATGAATAAGTTTGACCTCTACTTGACTCACGTTCCCCTTCGCCCCGTATCCTATGACCGGACTCGGTGCCAGCTCATTAAAACAACATTTCCATCTACGATCGAACTACTGCTTATTTCAAGTGGAGAAACTTCGTATAAGAGTCGCGAGTTAATGCCAATGCTAGACGAGCTAAGTTTGAGCAGGTTCGGAGCCCCCATCTAAGACAGAAATCACTAGCCTGACGCCAACGAAGGGAGATCAATCATCAGGGTAATACTTTTTAAATAGAAAGCATCCCAGGTTTGGCTGATCCAGGACTACAGAAAGAAACGAGTCACCAAACGTCCCTGAATGAATATTAAGTGAGCGCCCACATACACCCACGCGCAGTTCACGGCAATTGTCATTTGGATTACGAAAGCGCCTTCTCACGCTACAAGTGCGTCTTGGCGATGTCGCAACTTCTACTTTGACTTCCACCTTCCTCCCACCACTGTCATTTATGGTCGCACGTCCAATCACTTCATTCCCAAAATGAATGACATATGCTTATGAATAACAGCAATCTACCGCCCAGTTCGTTCCCAATCGCCACCGACCTCGCCGTGACTCTATGGCATTCAAACAAGACTTGATAGAAGCCAATCTTTCTGATTTCTCTGGAATTCAAGCAGCCTGCAACGCCCTCCACACGATACCGCATGCTGTTCATCATTTGAACAGAGCTGGCAGGCGAATATACATACAGGTCGCAGTTCTAGTCGACTCGCGCTCAAAACTACCACCCTTTAGGCCCACAGAATTGTCGTCATCTACCGCTTCAGTCGTCCTGGCTGCTACCGATGATTCTCCGTTGATATGTGGCGCTCGCACAAGGCCAAATCTCTCGTAACGACCTTCACCTGATAATGATAGCAATCGTTATCTGGCGCTCACAGCTAGACGGAAGGTATATAAACGACTCGCCTTCCCAAGCTTCTCTGCTTCATGCTCTATAACCCAGCGCAAACTCACAAGCAGACTCCGCAGAACAGTATGTCTACCACAACCTCAAAGACTATCGTCCTCATTACTGGTGCCACTGGTACGTCGGCCTGGGTCTATCCTTCCACTAATGCTTTATGCTCATC